TGTTGTGTTATATATATATATACATATATGTATATATATATATATATATATATATATATATATATGACGAGGATCGCTCTGAAGTCTTAACATCAGCTTATGCTTGCGCTCAAACGTCAAGAACTGCGGGGGTACTTCACGCATTCATCCTCACCTTCTTGATCAACTAAAACCCTAAAAAATTCTAAATTTTTAGCATTTCCTGCTCTGGCTTTATAAAGTTAGTCCAAATTTGGAGCTGTGGCCAAACAAACAAAAAATGACTTCTGACAGCTTGAAAAGAAGAGCAAAAAGAAACAGTTGATGCAGCTAATAATGTTTTATTGTGTATGGTAAAAAAACACAAGCACAAAATTGCACCGCAAATTTTGCAACTTCGAATTTCCAATTTCCATAAAAATCCTTCTTCGCTTTCGTTTGAATGCGTCCAAGCGTGCCTGCACTTCAGGGCGGAGAATGACACAGTAGTTGAATTTAATTACGTGATCCACATATGCACTTTGACTTTTTTTTCGTATTTTTGATTTGAAACACAAAGCTAGAAAAAAAATGATCTTTAAAGAGGTAAATTTTTGCAATCTACATTTAACAAATGTATAAAAAATTTTTTTCAAATGACTTCAGATGTTCTGGAATGTGTGAACTTTCGGTACCTGGCTGCATTTTCGATATTATTACCTCAAATGTTAAATGTTGGTGAATATCAATAATACACTACGGAGTTGTCCATAACTGGTGTTCGCATAAATGTTGTGCAATGAGCATTTGAGATCCGTTTTCTCAGAAATATACATACAGCACAACACAAAAGAAAGGAGTGACAATGCACCGCTCACTGCAATCTCGGATCACAATCAGCATTATCATGGACAATAAACTGAAGAAATTCTAGGAAACGCATCGCTCGCCGGTTTTCTCATTGTCTCTTAAAGATTCAAAGCAGCTCAAAAACATACATCTTTCCAGTCTTTCGCGCATAATTTCCCGTGTCCGCAGTTAAAATATTTCTCAGACAATAGCTTGTATCAGTCATTTTTGTTTGCCTTGCACTTGACTCGACTCTGAAAGCTCGGAAAGAAGATAACTGATGGAAATATAGCTGATTTCATTATAGACGATTTCACTGTTGTTAAATTCACCAGCTGTTAAATTCTCATACGTCTGATTTATGCTGCTTTAGTCAACATTTACCACTTTATGTTATTATCTTTAGTAAAATATTTCAGCAGAAGCTGTGTCTGCGGTCGGTCATTACACAACCCATCCCTATTTCCCGATTTTTATACTTGAAATGGGCAACACCGCACGCTCCGACCCGACAATAAGATAAGAAGATGCCGACATCGATTGTAACGGTTTTCTTAGCCAACGGCCCCCTACACGCTACGGCGCAAATACGAACTTATCAGTTTCTATGCGTTTTTGCATATATACCAATTGTAAAAACACATTGAGAAGAGAAGAGGCTGTCTGTGTGTATGTGTGTCTGCGCGTTCGCACTTTTTGTCACCCAGTTTCAACTCGAGAATCAGAAAAGCTAGAAGGCTAAAACTTTGAGAGTATATGCCCATACCATGCGCGACCTTCACGTTTTAATATCATCCCCGCAGACGACTGGTTGCCGCCCACTGACGCTTTAAAGTATATGCAAATTTTTTGGCGGAAAAGCGATCTCGGGAACCACACAAGGTAAGGGGCTGAAACTTTGTTGGGATATTATCTGTGCATGTGTTAGCTAAAGAATTCAAATCCAGCCCTCCGGTATACATGGTACTCACGTAAGTGCCTATGAAATTTTCTGCGGGAAAATTATTAACTCGGTAACCAGGAAAGCTAGAAAGTTGAAATTCTGGGGGAACGTTCACTGTTCAAGTACAACTTACGTATTTCCAATTCAGCCTTGAGATATGCGTGGTTCTTACGTCGGGCAGTTAAAAGTTTTGACCGAAAAATTTCTCACTGAACAGCTAGGTTGCTTTTAAAGAACGACCGTTAAATGGAAATTGTACAATTACTTTATGCAAAATTTATGGTGATTTATGGTAGCGACCGCAAAAGGTAGGTGTAAAGCAACAGCCATTCATGCAGTTAACGGCCTGAGTACTTCAAGTCCGGTGCAAAAAACTTATGATCGCACGGACCCACCCGCTGCATTCCAGCCTAGCTTATTATTTTGAACGAGTGCAACACACATAATACCTAATTATGACGAGCCAGGCCTGCAGGTGCGATCGTGCGATTTTACGCTACGCTTGAAGCAATCAGATCATTAACAGCATCGACAGTTATCACTTTACACTTATTCTGTGCACTCATTTCGATAGGTTATTGTAAATTTCGCATGAAGGAAAACGAAAAATAAGATGTTCCCACATATTTATGCAAACGCGGAAATGCATATTGTGATGACTCATGTGTTTTTGTACTTGTACGTTTGTTCAGAAATCACCCATTTAAATAAGCATGTGGCCTTCTATTCTTGGTGAGCAATGTGCGAAAGAACATAATAGAGTGCTATTAATCCCACTCAGCAATGTGTATGATGAGCAACTTATTAACTGCTGGAAAGCATGCCAATAGTCGAGAGTGAGATGTAAGTTATTCTGTGCCACTGATTTTCAATGCTAACATTTCGTGGCCTAAGGTCAACCATTCGTTGGTTTTACGTGTTTAAAGTAAACAAATTAAACTTTTTGGAGTGCGCAGTTACAATATTATTAGTTGATTTTAGAATGACGAAAGATGAATGTGCGCTTACAGAAGAAGACCAACTTTCGGTAAAAATAGTCCGCCAGCTTATCGGGCCAGCTTACTCGAACAGTCCCTACTGCACAATATTCAATATACTGCGTTGGATTCAAGCCTACTGCGGTGAACACAGAGCAGCTGCGCAGAAGCTCAAGCGACATTTGATAGTGAGGAGAATTAGGAATCTGGATTCAACTGACTTCTCCAAAGGTATGCTGGCCAATCAGTTCTTGCACATTTGATCCTGTCTTTTCAGTTTCAGATTTACTGGCTTCTCCAGGATGATTGTGAGCGAGCGCTGTCAGCGTTTTAGTTCATTCTGGCATCCATTAGCCTTTCGATGGTTATCATTCCGGGACTTTTCTCCGCCGTTGTGCACTTGCACCGGCACACCGAAGCACTAAGTTTCACAAATGCTGCTGCAGTGCCAGCATCTTCATACTGTCGGACAACGGGCAATACTTTCCATCATTGCCATGCTGAAAATGATTACATGTTGGAGCAAAGCATGGTCACCGGTGCAAAAAAAGCAAATGGCTATTACGGAGAGTTCAGTGTAGCGAAGGATGTTTGAGGATATTCTTTGGGTCAAATGCCGACTACAAATGGACGAGCTATGGATCTGGGCAGTCCCAAATAAAATACCAGACATGCGCCTTTTAACAGAGGGAAAACATGCAAATTTTTATGCGTTTTTTGCAGCAATCCAATGCGAAAAACACATACTGACGAAAGGTTGTCTGTCTGTGTGTGTGTCTGTGTGTGCGCTGCGCGTCTGTACCGATTTTTCATCCCGAGACCGGCAAAAGCTACGGGGCTGAAACTTTGGCGACTTAATCTACATGCACGTACAGGCCCCTATTCCCAAAATGGGCGGTCTTTCCCGCGTGGTACCTACGTAAGACCCCGCCAAAGTTTTTTACGGGTAAGCTGCTAAGCCGCGAACTAGAAAAGCTAGAAAGCTGAAATTTCAAGGGGTTGTTCCCCGTCCAGATAGGTACTAATGAGCTCAAATCCAGCCCCCGTATAAACGTGGTACCCGCGGACGGGCCCCCCAAAATTTTTCCCGCGTAAATTCATAACTCGGGGTTCTGAGAAGCTAGAGAGCTGA